CATCCGTTGTCTTGAATTGCGCCAACCTTTCACGGAGAAATCAGGTCATTACGTCCGAACACAATGCATCTAATACTGACACCTTATGTTCTGGTGTTGCATTATAACCGAAGGGTTTCTACAGAAAACGCGATGTTTCCACACGGGATAGAACTGGGGGTCTTTCGCATGTTAGCCGGATGTGATAATCACAATACCTCGAACAGGTGATGCTACCTGACAAACCAGCCGGGCGGGGGACAGGAGCCGGCCGACTGACCTCGACATGACCAGCTCTCCAGGAGCGGGTCCACCTCACGTGAAGGCTGACCAGTCGGTGAACCATGGCGTCCCAACCATTCACGTCATTTCGGGATACAGCAGGGGGTGTAGCTCAAGTGGTAGAGCGCTCGCTTAGCATGTGAGAGGTACGGGGATCGATACCCCGCAGCTCCATAACGTGGGTTTTAGCGTTTACATGTCGACAGAGACGTCGGGGCTTAAGCCACGAAAAATGGCGTCAAAATGTTTCTGTCAAAAGATGTGGAGATCGGACTGCGCGGGAGATGTATTTGCCCGCTTGGCAAATGGCGAGGGGGCAGTTCCCCGCTTGTCCCTCGGGTTGTGCTGCCTCTGGGCGCGTCCGTAAGGTTGGCACGCGTAGCTTCTGCGTGACCAGGAATAGGAATGTCAGCAACTTGAAAGGGGGGAAGCGATGAATGAAGGGGTTCTCTTCAGGTTACATGAATTAACTGTTGCAAAGTAATGAATAAAAAGCAAAACCAAACAGAACGCATGTAATGCCGTTTCTGAGGGGTCGGTTGGTGCAGCAGATTTCTAACTGTTGGCGCGATAATTAATACTAGTGGAGACCTGGCTCCTGCCAGTCTTTCTCGCGAGTACCAAAGAGAGGTCTTGTCAAACAGGGCTTCTATTTTCTGTGCACGTACACTCACCAACACTCACACTACAACGTTCGCACACACACACACACACACACACACACGCACACACACCACACACACACACACACACACACACACACACACACACACACACACACACACACACACACACACACACACACACACCACACACACACACACACACACACACACACACACACACACACACACACACACACACACACACACACACACACACACACACACACACACACACACACACACACACACACACACACACACACACACACACACACACAACCGACAACGATTCTACGTCTTCGCGCTTGGCGAGAGTAGGAGCCTTTCCAGGGTAACCAATGGAACAGCAAATATACGGCGCACGTCGGAACTGATTCATGGTCGTAGGGTACAGAAATGGCGTAATGTTAACCAAGGAGAAAGGAGTGCGACATCGACTGATGGACGCCTAAACCAATAAAATTAAGGCATCGCCTTTCAATCACAGAACTGGCTACTACAACTAGCAGGTTGTGAGACGATGAGGATAAATGTTAGCTGGCTTGTCCAAGAGGATTTCATCCTCAAGGCCTAGCCCACAGCATGAAGTCCACTGCCGAACAATTGGGCGAGTGCGAAGTCACTGCATGGTAGCCTTAAGGTGATGGGCGTTCCAGGGAAATGTTCCTCCCACCAATTCATTGAAGTCCGTACCGTGTACGATGTCATGTCGTCTTGATCGGGCCATTCTCACTTGAACTTGCCGAGAGGTGGTGGGAGCAGTGCTGGATTTGTTTGCTGAAGCAAATATCGTTTTTGTGCTTGTTTTGACCCTTTGCGTGGTTTTTCATATTTTTCCTGAAGTCTAACATGTTTATTTTCATTCACATTGTCAGTTATCGTACGACTCTTAGGTTAATCGATTAAACGCGTCATTTCTGAAACGACCAATAGTTATGCCCAACTTATGTAGCACAAAGCGTGACTGGAAACGGGTGATGTCATCTCATTCTAACATATCTACTGTTAGCTATCTTGATGTTGGCCTTATACAACATCAGTGGCTTTTCTTCCAGCTAAACGATGTTTCCGCCCGGGATCGAACCGGGGGCCCTCCGCGTGTTAGCCAGATGTAGACACCACAACACCACGGAAACACCTGATGGTTCCTAATGAGCCGGCTGGTCAGCAGACAGGAGCCGACCGACTGACCTTGATATGTTCAGCTCTTTGGGAGCGGGTCCACCACAAGTGAAGACTGACCAGCCGGTCAGCCATGACGTGCCAACTATTGACGACATGTTGGAGGATCGCCGGGGCTGTAGCTCAAGTGGTAGAGCGCTCGCTTAGCATGTGAGAGGTACGGGGATCGATACCCCGCAGCTCCAAATCGCTGCTTTGATATTCGAAAACCCCTGGAGAGGTACCCTACAAAGCTAAATTGATATATAGCACTGCTACATGTGCCCATTGGCAACTCGCCAAACGGAATACATCTTGAGCGGGCCATTGGCCAAAATGGATAAGCATAGAAATTAGATGCTTGGTAGATGCTCATCATGAAAGGCATCAGATACACCCGAAAAATAGAAATCAAATCCGAACGTTAAGAAAGCTTAAACAAACGTTTAAAAACTACCACATGGCCGGCCGTGCAGAGGCTCACTCCAGACCAAAGTCTGGATACGCTGCGCCCTCCACGCAGACACTGTATGGAGGGCGTCCTGTCCCATATCACGTTATCCGATTTAGTTGCATGCTGGATTTCATCAGCCTATCTCAGTGTGAGAGAGCAGAGCCCACTCCCTTCCACGCATGACGCTCTCTTCTAAGTTTGACATTCAGCCACCCGTTTTTTTTAACGTACTTCCATCCCTGGGTAGTAACGTTGGTTCCACGAAAAAAGTGCGCATTGAAGTAGTACGCGAGCGTTAAACACCTCAGCATATGTTCGTTTCCAAATGTATGTGTATGTTGCAGGAGGGTGCTCGCTGCGCTTTTCAATGCTTTTGCGAAGTTTGACAGCATTTTCTTTATGGCTTCGTAGGGTGCTTTCGGGGCTTGTGAGAAGAATGCAAGTAATTGTGGAGCTCTATAACGCTTCGTGTTGCCGTAAATCACTGTTGCAGCCTTCTGCAACTTTTTGCAACAAGCCGAAAAATTGGCTTTGAGGATTTTAATGTCTAACGACTGAGCAGTGAACTGCTTTTTCCACATTCTGCAACCTTCACAGCATTTTCAAAAATCCTCTTGTATGAGCTCTTGTGCCCTAGAAGACCACTGAAGGTAGTTTTAGGACACTGACTCGCTTCGTTATGTTCATAATCTTTTCATTTGATGCTAGGAAAATCCTCATATGTTCAGGTAATCTGGCCGTCTTGCAACGAAACTGCTCCCGATATTTATTTCTCGGGATGTAGGGTGAGGTTGAGGCGCACCCCATTTAACCATCACTTTCGAATTTCGTGATCAATACATTGAATTCGAATCCAAGTCATAATGTGCCTTAGCTACAGGATAATAATACCCGGTTTAGTGAAGCCCAATTAATTATTTTCAGTAACATTAACACGATTCACACGCCCACTGGCGTGTGTGTAACACCATATTATGCCACATCGTGTCACGTTGAAATGTTATCATGCCCACAATTTCTGTGTGAAAACTCTGAAGGACATAAATACTGTATTACATTGGGAATGTGAATAGGCCGTTAACACCTAGTGCAATATAAGCTATAGAGAACAGTCAAGACAATTTCTGGTCCGGAGTTGCGTTTAACGCACAACGCTTAAAATTGGGACCCGGCACGTTACTGCGTTTGGTACAGAATCCGGAGTGGGTGCTTATTCTGTAATGCTAGGGATACTTATCTTGATCCGCCCTTATGGTATAGTGGTCATCGGCAAGATAACGTGCTTCAGGGTTTCTTGCATCTGTCCTGAGCTAATCTCCCATGGTAAAATACTCAGCCCACCAAATAGGCGATGACGCGTAAATGTTAGTAGAGGTACTCCTAGGTTGAATGCCTAGCATTTTAAAGTTAATTGGCTTCATTTCAGTACAGAAGTTATCTCTTCTCTAAATCTGAATGGAAATAGGAGGGAGGGGGGGGGGTTGTCATACTCATGAAAAAGTGTGGAAAACATAATACCGTTCTGCATATGTAAACCTGCTCAAGGAAGCCAGTGCACCCCAATTGTCACTCATTGTCAATTGTTCGATAAGGGACAGTGCTTTGTTTCAGATGAAGCTCCTCGCCAGTCAATCCCTCATGATGAATCATCTACTAATTGCCCATGAATATTCGGTGTTCTGCCAGCAACTGCAGACAGCTACCACATGACATTAAGCCAAGTTTTGGGAGCTATTACGTGTTTGGTCTCAGTCTACCTGACCTGTGTTTGGTTTGCCATTTCTGTAACCATCAACAGGCAAACATGCCATATCTGATCAGATCGTTACCTTGAACATAGCAAAATTAAGTCTCATGACTGACCGCATGAATCAGCTGTCTCTTTTTATTGTTCTGTTTGTATGAACGTACAATTTCTCATTATGTCGAGTACATTGGACTGAACAGAGCACGGGACGTATGGCGTGCCTCAGAATCCACCTCTCACATGCCGAGGTTGATCGTATGGCTGGTCCCTCATATGGCTGGTCGTATGGACCGTATGACTGGTCGGAAAGGTCCCTTACTGGACTTATAACAATTCAGCCGAAGTGGCACCTCCTAATGCATGAGAACGGAGCCGATTTGTAGAAGTTTGAGTGATCTTATTTGCCGGGAGTCCTTTTGCTGGACTAGGCAATTATCGACCAGCTGTCCGCCAGCCACTTCCGCGCCTGCTCGGGTGCACGTTGCTGTTGTTGTCTTGTGAGCGGCCGCCCGCCACCTGGTGGTCGACGGCACGAAGGAGGTCCCTTAGTGATTTGAACCTGTATGCAAAGTTATGGCACATAGATTAGTGAAGAGTTTACGGCAAACATTTTCATGAGGTCGGAGAATGCTATCGCCAGCATGTTTTGTTGGGGATTTAGTCCCTCCTTGTTTCCATCATCAGTCAGCTGTTACGAAAGACTTTCGTTCAAGGTCAACTGTGTTTGCGTCGGGATGTGTGCATGTGTTCGACGCTTGGTGTTGGACAATAGATGTAAGTCGTCTTTACCCTCATTGCATAATAGTCGCCTGAAGGTGTGTCTCTGATTAACAACAAAAGCTTACAGCAGTCATTCGTTGAATGTGTCGTTTTGATTCTGATTACATTAGTCTGTGGCACGTCGGATGCCCGCCCACCCATGTACAAATCGTGCTGGATCCCGTCGCGGGGGCGGTGCTGCCCCAAATTTCAGAAAGTGGGGCTGCCTGTGGGTCTTATATCCGGACCACAAACATCTTGTTAACACCTCAGCCATGTTCCAGACTCAAGTGTAACTGCAGTGTGTGTGCAAAAGTTAAACATGAAGTGATAAGTTATTAATTGACTTTTGTCAATTGTCAGTGGTAGGGAGTCCCTCATTCTTGAGTTAACACGGGTGTACCCATATATATGAGACTGTGGATGAATGTATGTGGGCAGGAGAGCTCAGAATAAAGTTTGGAATGAAGATAAAGTCTGAAAATTTCATTTCAAATGGGAAATTAAAAGTAATGGATATTGTTTTGGAAAAACTAATGGAAAAATCCAATCCCGTCATAGGGCATCCCCCTTCATGGCTACACCATATATTTATTTGTACAGTTATTTTATCCTGACAAACCTGAATGTTAACATTTCAGTGCAGTCCTAGTATCAATCTGGCTCTGTCCAGAAACATTTGGATTATCAGCCTCAAGACCATGGTTGTGCTTTTAAGCCACCATTCAAGACTTTAGAAGAGCTTATTTTCATTCCTAAATTTAACTGGACTTTAGAAAAAGGTTTAAACTGGATTGCAAAGAAGCTAATGGAAAAGGCAAGATCATATTCCTTAAATCAAACTACATAATTACACAAGGATCAACATTCACCTAAGTTTGTCACATCTCGAGGTAAGTTGGTAGTCATAGTTTAAGATGTGTCTGTCATGCCTGTATTTTTTAAAAGATTGCTATAAAATTACCACTTAAACTTCCTCACTTCTACACTGGTCAACCTTATAGTCTTCAGTAAGTTGTTTTCAATAAAGTCCAACAATTCCAAACTGTTTTGCTCAATGATTGCAGGCAGCACATCAGAATTGAAGATATTTTGTAGGTCACCTAAACCCAAACAAAGGCCTGCGACTGTTTTAGAGCCATTTTATTTCAAACTGTTCCGAGCTGGATAACAATGAGCAGAAGAAATGGTCACAAGGCAATAAGTGTGAAATATGGGCAGGATGTATTTAAGGTCTATTTAAGGTCTATGATTTAAGGTCTATAGATGTAGATGTCATGCACACATTTTTACCTGATGTTCATGGCATAGCTGACAAAGTACCAAAATTAATTGTTCTTACAAAGTGTTTGTGGTATTAGAAGCACAAATATTATGCATCTTAACAGTACAGACAGTATACCTGATTGTTTTGTAAACTTTAGATTCTGGTGAAACTGGGTGATTTTTAAGCTGACTTTTTTGCATTGAATACTATTTTGTTTGACCAAGTCGTGCAATCTCTCCTACTCCACATCTGTGTGCTGCTGACGGTTTGTGAGAACAATAAATTATTGTGCAATTTTGTTGGCAAACTGCTTTCATGACTGAGTGTAAGTAACCCCTGAAACTTCCTGACAGTTGCAGCCTGTGTCATCTGTACATGTACAGTCAAGTTTGTACCACATTCACATTATGTGGGGTGAAGGCTACAGTTAACTGGAAATTTTTCTCCATTATTATGCTCAGTAGCCAGAATATCCAATTCGCTGACAAAGCCATAGAATGTGCAAATATGAGTATATGGTTGCCTGAAGTATGTGCAAATACAATAAAATAGGTATGTTGCAATAATAACATTCATCAATAGCTATGATACAATGATGACATATGTAGATAAGCATGTTGCAGTGATAGTTACTAATTCACAAAGATACCTTCATGCAATGTGCTAGGACTAAATGTACCATCCAGGGCCTGCAGTAGCAGGATCGCTGAAGATGTAAGTAGAGTGGGTGTTTTTAAACCTCTCTGTATTACATGAAGCCATTAGCAGGACAACTAAGGCATGCAATTTTGGCAGTGCATATACACCCTCCAAAATGGAGGGAAGTTACACAGTGGGCTTATGCACCATCCAAAACAGAAGGTGGCTAGCTTGTACATCCTCCAAAACAGGGACTGGCTACATAACAGATTACCACCCCCCCCCCCCCCCAAAGAAAAATCCTGAATCCTGGAGGCTGGCATAAGATTGCAGCCAGGTTTCTGAATGACCTTCAGTGAAGGCCGGAATGCTGCCGGTGATGCCCACCGCGCCTCCGCAGCTCATACGTTAGCTTGGCGTCGCTCGGTACCAGTGGACGTGGGCGTCGCTGGCACGCGTACGAATATAGTCCCTTTTGCCAGGAAGCTGGTGCCTTTGCGAGCAGTATGCGGGACGATTGATTTGTATTGATGCATTGTCTATTTCAAGCTCAACCAATTTCCGGGAGCGAGAAATGGGAAGTGAACACTGCTCACTTCAGATGAGTATTACTTTGTGTATCACTTGACTTTCTTGTCATATGCCAAGGATAGAAGAATGCAGTCATTGGCCATAGTATTCAGGGATGCAGCCAGATGTAAGGGCGGGGGGGGGGGGGGGGGAGGGAGGACCCCTCGTGGACCTGCACTTTCGCCTGAGGAGCAGACAGCTCATTCAGTTATCAATGATGAGCGGTCACTGAAATACACCCCTCCCACCAGCCCACATACACTGTGATTTTGTGTGTGTGTAGATGCTAGAGCTTGGGCACACACACACGTGCCGTCCTAGCGTTTAACTTCTTTCACGCTCATCGAACCGTTTTATAGGCGATATGCCGTAAAGAACCGAACCGTATAATTACCACAGAAGTCGCGGCACAGCGTCCCTAGAGCCATCACCTTAGAACAAATGATTGAAACATGTCAAAATGGTCGAAGTTTATCAAGCCCTAATTGCTGAATGTATGCATGATATGCGAGTCAAAGTCCCAGTTAAGTGGCTGTCATTTTTTATTTACTAACAATTGGTGAATTTTGCATTTTTCACATTTCATGTGAGATGTCATGCGATGAGGCGTCTGTCGAAGCCGAACACGCAGACATTGGTCTGAAAACGTAGTTCCCTCGCGGTTCAGATTCGAACCCAAAACTGTCGGTGTACCGAATCCGTTGTCATTGCACCGGGCCAAGGGGAAATGGCATCCACCGCCCCTGGCGCCGAATTGGACAGCTCGGACGACGTGCTATGCAAGTAAATTTTGACGCCGAAAACCCATCAGATGTCCGCCTTTACAACAAGAATAGCAGTTAGTTGGCTACAGATAATGAGGTGAACTTGTATGGTGCTAGAATAACACAGTGTTGTACGGTACTAAATGAATAAAAATCGCGTCGTTACAATCCAGTAAATTTTTTATCCCCGCGAATAAACCCAACACAGCGTTTTAATCATGGGCTCGAACGATCCTGTGGCGTTACGAGCCGTCTCCTAAATCCGAGCAATCGTTGCATGACTTCCTGGTTACACGGCCACGCCGGTCGTTGTTTGTAACAACACACACACTGAAGCCAAAATAGTTTATATCTGTAGGCGAAGCCAGAAATCACCGGGAGACTGGCCAACATCACGTTTTCGGAAAGCGCTCTCCAATTTTACGGAAGGATTGGGACGGGTTATCAGTGTCACGGGTGTAGAGATTACTGTCGTATCGTCTTACTGCCGTCCTCGTCTGGTGTTTTAGTATGTGCGCGTTAGTTCGGTCAGTTAACTGTGCGGCCGCTGTCAGCTGGTGGAATTCACGAGAAGGGCTGAATTTCAACCATATATGCTTCTCTGCCCGAATTCTCTCCTTTGAATTGCTGAGATTTGAACCAGGGTCTTCTGATCGCGAATCCAGTTCTCTTCCAACCCAGCTAACCGAAAAGGACCGTATCCTCTTTCCGGATCCCTAACCGGGATTTCCAATTGTTGACACTTGACGATGGCTGAAATATTGGCTGATCGGAACGTTGTGTGCATATTAACACTCCAAGACAACGGCGGATAGGTCCGAACAAGTAGTCATCCGATCTCGATTGCGAAACGATATGGCCTAAACGGAGAGGTCAGGCCAAGAAGACCAGGAGACGTGCTGGTGACCAATATCGGCCCAAAGCATTTGCGTTTTTCATGGCAGGGTTAGGGTGTCTACATCGTGGACCCCAGACTCATCGATTTCGTCGCTTAGAATTGTCAGGCGTAGCCAGACCACAGCTGGCGGAGTGCCAAACAACGCTACCAGAGAATGAGCGCGCATATGTTAACCAATGGACATCTGCCCGTTGGGGTGATTGCGTAGAGTTTTCCATAGCAGAGAAGAGGGTAGATCAAGGCGGTGCATTTTCTATCTTGGCAGGATCTTTGTGTAAAAATTGGTGCAGCCGCGCGAAATAAGGTTTCAGTACGTGCAGTGATCCCACGGTGGGGAGTGAAAATGGGCTGCGCATTTAATGAAACCGATCACACCGCAGAGTCCCCCAGTGCTGGGGTATTTTTATCGTCCATCATACATGGGAGATTGTTGCAGTCAATACATTGCGCCTTTTTTGTGGTGTTCATATCTAACAGGTTGATAAAAGGGTCTTGCAGCGATTCGGTGTTGGGCTGGAAGCGTCGTCGAAATGCGTGTTGTTATGTTTACGTGTTAAGTGACATTGGTACGCAATGCTGCCTCCAGCATATCTGACAAGTTTTTTTCTCAACAAAGCCAGGCACATTTGGCGCCAAACTACCTAAAGTGTCCACGTGTTACAGCGGTATTTCTGCGTGCTTTAAGGCACTGATTAACAACAACAAAAAAATACATGTATGTGGGATTTGCCATCATTGACGGTCTAGACCCTAGAACAAATTGGTTTTTGGTGCAGGTTGCAAGATGTTAAATCGTGTCCGCATATGTGAACTGCTTTTGGTGAGACGTAAGACGATTACACCATGTACAACAAACTAACCTTTCATCGCGTGATGGCAATGCACCACACATTTCGCTACGGGTCAACAGATGCGACACCATAAACGTTACAAGCGTGCCGGTTCATGCCCCGTACCCTTCACCCTTTTTCATTTGGGTACGCGTTATTGGAGTGAGTTTTGACTGCAGCACATTTAATGTTCACAAGTAAATATTCAGCGCTCACCGTTGGACCATTCGGCGCCACGGACAGATATCTACTGTTTTTAGAGGGATTGGATGTTGTGTGTCTCTATCCTGAAATGGAAGCATATGCATGTTTCTGTGTTTTATGGGTATCTGTCAGCTGCAGAAAGATACGCATTAATCGAGTCACGTCACTGGTAATGAAATCCACAGTCCCTGTCAGGCTTGTTATTCTATGCTTCTCGAAGAGAGGAGTACTTAACCAAAACTGCTGTCCAAAGTTACGATACGAACCACTTAGCTTCATCATGAATGAAAGAGTTACTTATTTCACGTGTCCAACGGCCCAGTTTCATAACAGCATATCTCAGTAAACAACATCTTAGAGGTACACAGCATTGCATCAGCTGATTTTCCACAAAGAATACGGTGCCATTACCGCGCATTTTGGAACGTTATTTCATGCTGATGAAGCTATTTCCAGAAAAAAATGCTACTTCTATTGGACTTTTGAGCTCGGTACGCATAATTGAATAAAACCTTCTCGTGGCGTGTTATCTTCTGTTCTGATATTCGGAGACCACCTGAGTGCATCTGAGGCCTCTGGTCAGGCCGGCACCGGCGCGCTGGCCCTGTGGTCAGCCCGACGCCTGCCCGCTGGCTCCTCTGGTCAGGCCGGTGCCGGCCCGCTGGCTTTTCTGGTCAGGCCAGTGCCGGTCCGCTGGCTCCTCTGGTCAGGCCGGTGCCGG